AGTTCTTCTCACACTCCTCATCCCAATTAAACTTTATACCCTTCCGAGTTAACCGAATCAATGGCATAGTTAACCTGCTAAACCCAGAAAACTCCTTATTTATGTAACATTAGTGGGTCTCGGCCATTGTGTTATTGCTTCAACCTTAGTTGTGTCTACAGAAATCCCGTCTCCAGAAATTACATGACCAAGAAAAGATACCTCCTTACGCCAAAATTCACATTTACTTAGTTTGGCATACAATTCATTTTCCTTCAAGGTATGCAAGATGGTCCTTAGATGTTGAGCATGCTCTTCCTCACTCTTTGAATATAGCAGAATGTCATCAATAAATACCACAACAAATTTGTCCAGAAATGACTTGAGGACCCTATTTATTAAATCCATAAAGAAAGCAGGAGGATTAGTTAGCCCGAACGGCATCACCAAAAATTCATAATGGCCATACCAGGTCTTAAAAGTAGTCTTGGATATATCACTAGCTTTAACCTTCAATTGACGGTACCCTAATCTCAAATCAATTTTTGAAAGGTATTCAACACCTTGAATTGGTCAAATAAATCATCTATGTGAAGTAGAGGATACTTGTTCATGACAATAACTTTATTCAATTTCCAATAGTCAATACACAATCGCAAGCTACCATCCTTTTTCTTCACAAATAACACTAGTGCACCCCAAAAAGATACACTAGGTCTAATAAATCTCATATCAGGCAATTCTTGCAATTGCACCTTTAACTCACTTAGCTTAGACGGTGACATGCGATAAGGGGCTTTGAGATTAGAGTAGTTCCGAGAACTTCTATTTCAAACTCAATTTCTCTATTTGGAGGTAATCCAAGTAAATGCTCTAGGAACACATCCGAAAATTCATTAACAATTGGGATATCATCTAACTCAACTTCTTTCTGGTGGGTATCCATTACATAAGTCAAGAAACTGCTACACCCTTTTGGCCTTTTCTCAATTCTTTCTTAGCCTTCAATGCAGAAATTACTTTCAATGGCACTATTGACACCAACATTCCGCTCCTAGGAAAGTGTCTCAAAGTAAAGATAGATTGTCCAGGAATTTGAAATACCACTTTTCTACGAGCGCTATCACATCAAAATCCTGCATATCTAGTCGAATTAAATCAATTGACAAATCACTCCCCTTAAGTTGTAGAGGACCATCTTGAAACCAAGTATCTGTCACTACAATTTTCCCCATAGGGGTATTAACATACAAAGTTTCACTCAACTTCTTAGCTTGCAAATTTAAATTAATTCTTTACAAACTTCTCATAAACAAAACAATGTGAAGAACCTGAATCACATAGCACGTAAGCATGCATTCACAACTATGTTTTGAATAGGCGTCACATTTATCGACAGCCTAACTTGACGAGTTCGACCACGAGTAGGAACACCCCTCCTAATCATAGTAACAAAACACTCCCTAAATTCACAATAGAGAAGGTATGAACACATTAGCAAAAAATGTTCAGGAAACCACATCCAAAACACGCTCAAAGCCTAAACTTATCTTCGGCTAGGTTAAAGCCTAATCTTGCAAAAATTCAAACTTAACTTCTTGACCAACTAAGGATTTAAACCTAGGCTCTGATACCACTATGTCACGCCCCACTTCTAGGACATGACCCGGTCGTACCGTTACATGAAAACTTGTAACAATACGAAGCCTAACCGCACGTATCTCTCGAAACCTTCATAACAACACTTAAATACATAACAATTCCACAACCCAAAATGACAAAATATAAGCAACTAGTTCTTCCCAAAAGCTCATTAAATCCACACACAAATTTTTACAATCATGAGTAGTATGTCTAAAATACATCACAAGCACAACGGGTTACCAAAATTACAAGGGTTAAAGGGAATATCCAAAAGAAACAAAAATTCGTGATAAGCTCCAACACTAGGACTAAGTCTCCTAGTTTCAAAAGTCACCTTCGAGACCCCACCACGTGTGCTCATGCTATTCACATGTCCTTACTACTCTGAAACATGAGAAAATGAAATACAAATAATGAGCTAATGCCCAGTAAGTGATACTCCTCTCAACCCCGGATCAAGTAACCCCAAAATAATACAAAAAAGCTTTAGAGTAATAACTCGATGCAAAACTCGATCTTTAAACTATATCGAAGTCATAATATATTTTCATCATACTATACACAAGTTCACAAAACAAGAAAATTTAGCTACATGGGCCTCAACAATATTTCATAATACAATACTTTCAAAAGCACAAACCATACCTTAACATATGACTCATTGGCAACCTACAACCACCATTATATTCTGTAGCACATTCCATTATCGATATAATGGTCCAAAAAGACTCGACGATTCGGAATGAGTCAGGCTCGACGATTCAGAATGAGCCGGATGGAACGTTCCAACAAATAATTCAAAAGACTCGACGATTCGGAATGAGTCAAGCTCGACGATTCGGAATGAGCAATTAGGAACGTTCCAAACCGAACAAAACAAACAACAAATGGTAGGTTGCCTCATGAGTTTGATCGAACATTCAAAATAGTTCTTATAAACAAATAGCCCGATGTAGCAAAAATCATTTTCCTTAAAAAAACCACATAACAAGTACATAGTCTATTGTACCAAGTTTTTTAAAGTCACATATTTTCTCAAGATACATAATATTTCCAAATATTGATAATAAATTTATCAAACTAAGAAATATGCAAGGTATAAACCCTTCCCAAAATGATAATTTTCTTAGTACATAACTCGATCCTTAAAAATCGTATAATAGTTTATTACACTAAAATAGTTTCAAAAGAGTTGAGCTAGCTTATTGGAAAAAACTTAAGTTATTAAACATGAGGTCAAGGGTTCAGGTCCTACTTTAAATAAATAATCCATTTTGTCAGCATAATATATACAAAACAAACACACATAATACTAGCAGGAAGAATCGAACCCATAACCATCCACTTGCACAGCAACACTCTAACCAATCCACCATCAATACACATGTTCATAACTTATGTCCTGAATACATCTTATTCCAGCCTAAAACACAGTCCAGGCTGACCCAAAAACAAATTCAATCCCGAATACAGCTTAACAATTTCAATCCAGGCTTCAGAATACATAGCTCAGTATTTTCAGACCCAAAAACATATCATAGCCCAAAATATTTTAAACTCATACTAACCCTAAAATGGGTATTCAAAATAGTAGAGATTTCAAAATAGGTTATACATGGGTTTCGCAAAATAAGGAGAGAAGAGTTAACCACTTACCTAAAACATCCAAATCTTAGCTATTTAGTTCGCCAAATACTCCTTGTCAAAAATCCCTAATATTTTCAAACATCAATCTTAGGACTCAAATGATAAACCCAACTCAAAGAGTGAAATATGGAAGTCAAACTCACCTAGAATACTCCAATAGCTTTGAGATCTAAGCTTGAAGAAGATGGAGATCAAAGCTTCAAGGTTTTTCCCTTCCTCTATCTCTCTAGCCAATATTCTCTTTTTCTTCTTTCAAATGAGATGGTCTTCCAAGATAAAAGGGATTCCTTAAGCTTTAAGGATAAAGAGGGGTAATTTAGTAAATTCATCTAATATCAATTTGAATAACCTTTGACTTGTTGACCTATTTTAATAACATAGGTATATTTTTATTTCTAAGATAGTGGGTATTACACTAAAAGTGCAGAGCCCTTCTGCTATTGTCAACTAACATACAAAACCAATACTGAGAAAATCAAGAAAAAGAACAAAATTTGTGCTTGAAAATTAAGGTTTTACATTATCCCAAATCATGTCATACAAAACCCGTCATGTAACTTTATATGTTATCATATCAAACATAAGAAAGAAAGCTAAACTTGATGTAATTTTGTTTCAAGCTAAGGGAAGAAATATTATATTGTATAAGAATTGAAGAGTGAGATGTTTCAAGATTACACTCCATGGAGATTTTGTTTCCAATCAATAAAATAAAAGAAATATCATAAATTTATTTCTTCTAAAATGTTTATATAGGTTAACCTGAAACGTACTCATTCACTAGAGTTTGCTTCTTTGTGAACTCATAAATATTGTTATCAGTTATCCACTGACTGTTCTTCACTTAGGCTTTCCTCGGATTCCGAAACCTGTCATGAGTCACTGAATTTAATTAAATCTGCTTGGCACAAGTTGAAAAAATATTGTTATCAGTTATCCACTGACTGTTCTTCACTTAGGCTTTCCTCGGATCCCGAAACCTGTCATGAGTCACTGAATTTAATTAAATCTGCTTGGCACAAGTTGAAAAAATACAATTCAGGAAGAGAAAGGGTGACATACATCTATAGTTTGGACCTCAATAACAACCATATCATTGTTTCCATAGTCACGTTGTTCGTCCTGAATTTTCATGGCTGATTCCACAGTAGAAGGAAGACAACTCCATAATTCAATTGACTTCAATGTTGAAATTTCAGCAAAGTCAATTGGGATCTCTCTCAATTTATTGCAACCCTCAAGAAATAAGTGCTCAAGTTTTGGGAAATTATGACTACTAGCTTTCCAAATCACACGCGGCGAAAAATATAGCAATTAACGGTCAAAGTACCTATGAAGTCCCTGTACTATAGTGTTTTGTTCAATTTAGTCCTTATACTTTTATTCTGTTCAATTTAGTCCCTCTACTTTAAAAAGTGGTGAAGCTAAGGACAATTGTCCAAATTTCATTAGGAACATGGTTATAATTATTTATTTTGGGCATACTAATTTAATATATTGGTGGTAAAAATACTTAATTTTAAATGTTTATAAAGTAATATATGAGTAGGAATATAAATATCCACAGCGCCACGTAACCTAAGTTAACAGTAATATTAGCACCGTTAACTATTGTCCTTAATTGTATCACTTTTTAAAGTACAGGGATTCGATTGAACAAAAAAAAGGTATAGGGATTAAATTGAACAAAACGCTATAGTACAGGGACTTCGTAGGTACTTTGACCGCAATTAACTGGCAAATATTACTTCGTCTTGTATTTCCCATTCTTTGCCTACGCATGACATGTATAGTAACTTGAGCACCTCTACCCTAGGCAACTTGCTAAGAAGAGTAATTTTCTCCCACTCAAATCTCATACCATATAATTTCAACTTCCTAAGGTTTTTCAAGAGAACAATATCATTATTAATTGGAGTATTTGTTCCAAACCAACATGAAACCCAAAGTCTCTCGAGTTGCTCTAAGTAGGCTAAGTTCGCAATGCAGGCATTAATCTCTTTGTCTTCACCTTTAATACGTACCTTCTTCAAGCATGGAATATTGGTAATGTATTCTTTTGAGCAATTATCAGCTCCTATCCCATCAAGTTTATGAACAAAATTGGGAGGATTTCCACAAAAATAGTTTCCACAACTAATATAGTGTAGTTGTGGAAACTCCAAATACTTCCTTCCTTCATCTAATCTTGTCACGCCCCACTTTTAGGACATGACACGGCCGTATCGTTACGTGAAGACCTGTAACAATACGAAGCCTAACCATACATACCTCTCAGAATCTTCATAATAACTCTTGAATATACAATAATTCCACAACCCAAAATTACAAAATATAATCGACTTGTTCTTCCCAAAAACTCATCAAATCCACTATTAGATATTTATAATTAAGAGTAGTATGTCCAAAATGCATCACAAGCACCAAAACCAAGCACAATGGTCTACCAAAAATACAAAGGGTCAAAGGGAAAGTCTAAATAAACAAAAATCCATGATAAGCTCCAAAACTAGGACTAAGTCTCCAAGTTTCAAAAGTCACCTTCGAGACCCCACCACTTGTGCTCGTGCTATTCACATGTCCTTAACTACTCTGAAACATGAGAAAAAATACAAATAATGAGCTAATGCCCAGTAAGTGATACTCCTCTCAACCCCGGATCAAGTAGCCCCAATATAATACAAAAAGCTTTAGAGTAACAACTAGATGCAAAACTCAATCCTTAAATTATATCAAAATCATAACATACTTCCATCATACTATACACAAATTTCCAAAACGAAAAACTTTAGCTACATGGGCATCAATATTATGTCATAATACAATACTTTCAAAAGCACCAATCATTCCTTTACATATAACTCATTGGCAACCTACAACCACCATTATATTATGTGGCACATGCCATTATCGGTATAATGGTCCAAAAAGACTCGACGATTCGGAATGAGTCAGGCTCGACGATTCAGAATGAGCCGGATGGAACGTTCCAACAAATATTTCGAAAGACTCGACGATTCGAAATGAGTCAAGCTCGACGATTCGGAATGAGCAATTAGGAACATTCCAAGCCAAACAAAACAAACAACAAAATGTAGGTTGCCTCATGAGTTTGATCAAATAATCAAAATAGTTCTTATAATCAAATAGCCCGATGTAGCAAAAATCATTTGCTTAAAATCACATAACAAAGTTCATATTTCCAAAATAGGTAATAAGTTTATCAAACTAAGAAATATGCAAGGTATAAACCATTCTCAAAATAATAATTTTCTTAGTACATAACTCTTTTAACATCATAGAATGGTTTATTAAACCAAAGTAATTTCACAAGGATTGAAATGGCTTAGGTGAAAAGAACTTAAAGTTAATAAACAAGAGGTTAAGGATTCAACTCTCACTTTAAACAAACAAACCATTTTTATAAGGCATATTGATATAAAACAAACACACACAATATGCTAGCTGTTGGAGTCGAACCCACGCCCTACTACCTGCATAACAGCCGTAAAACCACTCTACCGTCTCTACACATGGTGATTGTATCAGTCAGAATTTATTTAGCTTAACAATACATTCCGAAATCACAATTCCAACGAACCCAAATACAATTTCAATCCAGAATTCAGCTTAGCATTTCAGACCCAAAACATAATCATAGTCCAAAATATTTTTAACTCATACTAACCATAAAATGAGGATTCAAAGTAGTGGAGATTATTTCATAATATTTAGGGGTTTTCCAAAATAAGGAGAGAAAAGTTAATCACTTACCTAAAAACATCCAAATCTTAGCTATTAAGCTCGCCCAAATACTCCTTGTCAAAATCCCTAATATTTTCAAACATTAATCTTAGGGCTCAAGTGATAAACCCAACTCAAAGAGTGAAATATAGAGGTCAAACTTACCTAGAATACTCCAATAGCTTTGAGATCTAAGCTTGAAGAAGATGGAGATCAAAGCTCCAAGGTTTTTCCTTCCCCTATCTCTCTCTAGTTAGCTCCCCTTATCTTCTTTCAAATGAAATGTTTATCCAAGACCAAAGTGGTTCCTTAACCTTTAAGGGTAAAGAGGGGTAATTTAGTAAATTCATCCAATATCAATTTTAATAACCTTTGACTTGTTGACCTATTTTAATAACATAGGTATATTTTTTATTTCCAAGATAGTGAGTATTACAAATCTATATATTACTTTTCCATGAGAATGAAGTGTTTGAAGATTCCAAGACCTTGACAATTCTATACTCTCTCCACGTCTTGACTTTAGGAATCCTTGGGCCATAGATAGTTCTATACTATTTGGAACTCCTAGGAATCTCAAATGGACACTATCCACAATATTTTTGTGTTTCATACGTGTAAAATAGCAGAAGAGTACTCTCAGTAGATTGCTATTTATAAAATTTGAAAATGATTTCCCCCACAAAAAACTGAAGAATGATCTATAGCTTTTCAAGGTATAATGTTGTATTGTAGACATGTTAAAATCTTCATATTGGATGCTTACCCAGCGAAAACCTTTCTGAGAAAAATAAGAACTATTTTCACTCTGGACAACATGCAAAAGGTTCTCGTTTTGAGCTTCTCTCATACAAAAGGCATGCAGTAAATCATGCATCCTAAACCTCTTAATTTTTCTTCTACAAGAGCTTAGCTCGCTTAAAATTATTAGGTTTCTATCCATAAGTTCTTGCATGTACCTATTAGCCACTGCACCAAAGCTTTCATTCTCAAATGCCTTTACGAGTCCTTCCGCAAGCCATAACTTTGCAAGTTTATTAGCATTGATCTTGTGATCTTCTGGAAAAACTCCCAAATATAAAAGACAAGCTTTCAAGTTGTGGGGCAAATGATTGTAAGTCAATGAGAGTATTCTCGAACATTCTTCATCATCTAGAGTAGTTGCAGAAGAAGAACGTAGAGCATTGGCAGTATTCTTCCACTCATCTAGAGTGTTGAGTTTGGAAAAAAGGCCTGCAACCACAATAATTGCCAAAGGCAGTCCTTTGCATTTTTCAACAACCGGTCTCCCAATCATTTCAAATTCAGCACCGCGAGATTTACATGCCTTTTCATTAAATAGTTTCCAACTCTCACTTTGTTCTAACAATTGCATTTGATGAGAAAAGTCATTTTGAGTGCAGATATGATTAGCCACCTTAGCAAGGCGAGTAGTCACCAATACTCGACTACCATTTCCATCATCGGGAAAGCAAGTTTTGATAGCATCCCATGCCTCTTCGCTCCATACGTCATCCATCACAACCAAGTACCTTTGACACTTGAAACTTTGGTAGAGTCGTAATGCTAGGTCCTCATTACTGCTATTGCCTGCATTATGGTGTTTGGAACCAAGAAGACCGCAGAGCATTTGCCTCTTATTGTGATGTTGTGATGTAACAACCCATGCTTGCTTATCAAAGTAGGAGGTGATTGATGAATCTTCATAAATTTGCCTAGCTAATGTTGTCTTACCAATACCTCTCATACCTTTAATGGAGACAATTTCTAATTGCTTAGATGGATGTTGGATTAGCATCTCCTTTATAATATCGAATTCATCCTGTTTTCCTACCATTATTTCTTTGGAGCGTGAAGCATGGTGGGAAGAATCAGGCATGGAGATAACTTGATAAGTAGGTATTGGTAAAACATTAACCTTTGTTCCTCCTTGTAGATGATGTTTGAAAAGCTGGTACTCCTCCTTGGCTTTTGCCAACTCTTCAGTGATGGCATCAATGTCTTGTACAGCTCGGTGTAAAATACGACGGAATTTGAGACACGAATGTGATTTTCCCCTTAGCGGATGCAAAATTTGATGAAGCCTCTGGCAATGCTGAGTACTTGTCTGATGAAGGCTTTGGCGATGACGAGTGCTTTTCTCACCATGTGACATTTCCACATAAATGTGATTTTCCCGTGGCTGAAATGTCTGATCCACAAATCTGTCAAAAATATCAAAAATTCCTGCAAAAATTCTGAATTCGTCTTCTTCTTCCTCATAAAGATGTACTACTTGGAGTTCAATTTCATCCTCAATCCTGAAAGCTACATCTCTGAGCTTTGTTTCCAAGTCTTTTATTGTTTCAACACCATCTATTCTGTTCTCATCGAATAGTTCCATCAGAGATCCAAGCTTCTTGTGGAGAGATAGGACCAAGTCTTTGTTGCAAGGGATGAGTTCCTTTTGTTGTAGAATTGGACGAGGGAGAGGTTGCATGAACTCAAGCTCAAGTGTCCTCATAAGAGAAAGTACAACCACACAAGCCATTCTTCTCTCTCTGTACTATATGTGTAGGTGTAATATAATGGAAAGGAGAGTTGTTTTGTGAGTTTGTTGGAGTGAAGGTTAGCAGAAGGAAGATGAAGATGAATGATATGAACCGGAATTAGGTAATGCCCAAGGTATAGTATGGGATGAAGGAGATTAAAGGAAATTAAAATGATTTTTTCTTTCAATAAAATAAAATTGTATCATCGTGATGAGTGCACTTGTAATTTCCCAAGATATAGTATGGGAACACCAAAAAAAAAATGTATCGTGCTAATAAATAAATAAGAAGTTTGGCAAGTATGGCTAGATGTAACATAGGGAACACCAAAACACACAGCTTAAAGAACATAATTGGCAGACAAAATGTTAACTAATAGGGCGGGGTTGTTTGTTTGTGCATACAAGCCATCCATTTTTATTTCACGAGGTATAGTTTGGGAACACAAAAAAATGGGCACATATATTCCAGATCAACACTCTGCAAATTCATGATATGCATCCCACTCCAAATTTGCAGCAAGCCAGCAATCTATACCTTGTATTCAATATTTTGCAGCTGAAGATCCTATCCCTGTGAACCAGAACCCATTTCAGTAACCACAAACAGTTGAATAAAAACTGTCTAATAGGCAGGGCAGGTCCTATCATTTTATAGGGCCTGGGGCAAAATAAAAACAAGGGTCTTTAATATATGAAGTTAAAAGATTGTATGGGTTAATTAAAAATAATTAAATGATAATTTTAAATTTTTGTAAACATATAATTTTTTTATTTAAAAAACATTTTAGAATAGTCTTGGAGGAGTGCCCATTCAAACTTTGGGCCCCTATATGAAGTGTAATTATAAATTAATTCAACATTCGCAAATATATATCTATTAACTGTTATAAGTATATCAAATGGTTGTAATTGTTAAATAGATTTAAAATTAATAAATAATTTTAAAATTATGAATTCAAATATTTGCAAATGCAAGCATTTTTTATTTAACTTCATCAAAAAATTTTAAAAAAATTAAGCTAGGGGCCCCTCCCAACGTTGGGCCCAGGGCAGGCGCCCATCTCGCTCGCCCTCAAGGCCGGCCCTGCTAATAGGTCTTCAAAGTTTCTAACTACTTAAAGTACAATACTACAAGTAAACTATAGCTAAGTATGAATATGGATTGAGAATAGAAGTATTGCATTGCCACTACTACTGAAATCACCTACAACGTCAGACTTATGACGTCGATTTTGTCAAAATATTAAATAAATTTATAATTTTATCTAAAAGGGTTTTAACGTCGGTTTTGCTTAAAAACTTACGTTATAACTCATTTTAAATAATAAAAAAAATTAACAAACTATACAACGTCGGTTTGCTTTATAACCGACGTCGTATAGTATATCTAATTTTTAAATTTTTTTAATTAAAGTTACGACTAACCTATTTTATTTTTTAAAAAAGAAATTAATATCTATACTATGTTAGTTTTAGTATAACTAACGTCGTATAGTATACGTATTTATGTTTTTTAAAATTTAGGATACGACGACGAACCGACGTCGTAACCTTAAAAAAAAAAAAGAAATTAGTAGATATACGACGTCGGTTGTATAACCGACGTCGTATATTAAACGTATAAATTTATTAAAAAATTCAGACTATGACGTCGGTTCGTCATCGAACTGACGTTATACTTGTTTTTTAAAAAATAAATTAATACTATACAACGTTGGTTCGATGAAGAACCGACGTTGTATAGCTATATTAAAAAATGTCCGTTCTTTCAAATCCAGGCACGCATTCCCCTTCTTTCATATCCTCTTCATCCGCCACTCCTTCTTCTTCCGAACCGTCATTCCTTCTTCTTGTTCTACTCCACATTCTCCTTCATTCAATTCCTTCTTTGTCTTCCCAACTGCCTCCATACCATCGCCCTCGCACCACCACCATCGCTGCCTTTGTTTTGGTCGCCGCCTGCCGCTGCTGCCTGTCGCCTCCGGTCGTCACCGCCGCTCTCCCACTCGGCCACCACCTTGTAAGATTTATACATTTTAAAATATTGTTTTAATGTTTGAATTTTATGAGTTTAAAATCATTTTTAAGTATATTTAGAATTATTTGTTTATATATTTCGAATTTTAAGAGTTATTGTGCATTTTAGGAATTGTTGTTAATATATTTCAAATTTTAAGAATTATTGGGTATTTTAGGCATTATAGATTAATATGTTTCGAATTTTAAAAATTATTGTGTATTTTAAGAAATATTGTTATTATAGTTTGAGTTATTGTTAATTTATTTCAAATTTTAGGAATTAATGTTAACAGGGAAAAGGGTCAAATAAGCCCCTGAACATTATACAAGGAGGCAATTAGACCCTTGAACTTTTATAAGTAACAATTAAACACATCAACTTTTGACTTTGGTGCAATTAGACCCAAAATCCTAATATTTACCTGTAATTGCAGGTAACCTCTTATGTGACATCATTTGAGCTTGCCACGTATGCAAATTTAATAAAAAAAAAGTATTAAAATTAAAAATCAAAATAATAATAATAATAATAAAAATAATAATAATAATAAATAAATAAATAAACATTTTCGATAATGAAGTCATGTGCCGTTCGCCGCCGCCGGTGGGCAAAGAAGAAGAAGGCAGCCATGACCATGGCTGCCTTCATCCTCTTCTCTCTCTCTCCTTTTAAAAAAAAAATATCTTTCCCTTCTTCGTCTCCAAATATGGAGACGAAGAAGGAGAGAAGAAGCTATGGCCGAGCCGTCGGCCCTGGCTGCCTTCAACCTTTTTTCTCTTTTTTTTTTTTTTTTTTTTTTTTTTTTTTTTTTTTTTGTTGTAAATCTTTCCCTTCTTCGTCTCTGAAAGGAAAGAGGACCCTTCTTCATCTCCAGATTTGGAGGCGAAGAAGGAACACATAATAAGGCAGCCATGGCCGACGGCCATGGCTGCCTTCAAGCTTCAACCTCTTTTTTTTTTTTTTTAATAAATAACAATCATTTCCTTCTTCGTCTCCAATCTGGAGGCAAAGAAGGGAAAGAGAACCTTCATCATCTCCAGATTTGGAGACGAAGAAGGAGGAGGAAGGCAACTAATGCAGCCGGCCATGGCTGCCTTTGACGGGTAAGTTTTTTTTTTTTTTTTTTTTTTTTTTTATGTTGTTAATTTTTTAAGAATTTAAATATTATTATTTTAAATAAAAATGACACGTACGATGCCACATAAGAGGTTACCTGCAATTACAGGTAAATATTCAATTTTTGGATCTAATTGCGCAAAAGTCAAAAGTTGATGTGCTTAATTGCTTCTTATAAAAGTTTAGGGGCCTAATTGCCTCCTTGTATAATGTTCAGGGGCTTGTTTGACCCTTTTCCCATGTTAATATTGTTTGAAGTTTAGGAATTATTGTTATTATATTTCAAATTTTAAGAGTTATTGGGTATTTTTGGAATTATTGTTAACATATTTTGAATTTTAAGAATTATTGTGTTTTTTATTTAAGCAGTATAGATTAATATGTTTGGAATTTTAAGAACTACTATTGTGTATTTTAGGAATTATTGTTATTATATTTTAAATTATTGTTAATTTAATTTGAATTTTAGGAATTAATGTTAATATAGTTTGAAATTTAGGAATTATTGTGTATTTTAGACATTATAGATTAATATGTTTTTGAATTTTAAGAACTAGTGTATTTTAGACATTATAGATTAATATGTTTTTGAATTTTAAGAACTAGTGTCTATTTTATGAATTATTGTTATTAAATAAATATATATTTTTTGTTTAAATTCTACTGACTCCGCCTCCATTGACGAGGCTCAATCTCACTTGGCATATATATATATATATATATATATATATATATATATATACATATATATATATATATACATATATATATATATACATATATATATATATATATATATAGAGAGAGAGAGAGAGAGAGAGAGAGAGAGAGAGAGGGATGCACTCAGGTGCGAATAAGTGCCCAGGAAGGAATATGCGAACGAATCAGTGCGTGACACGTGTCCAGATCTAATAGCTTAAAAAACGCGGTGACATTTTCGTAAATAATTGAACATCGAAGTGCAAGTAAAATCACTTACAAGTGCACCTACTTTCACCTATAAGTGCATGTAATTTTGCCTTGTTAGCATTTACTTCCCGCAAACATTCATGCACCTGGGTGTGCTTATAACTATATATAGATGCAACTATTTATAACTATAGGTGCAACTACTTATAACTATAGGTGCACCTACTTTCACCTATAAGTGCATGTAATTTTGCCTTGTTAACATTCATTGATCTGAGTTCAGCGGGTAGTAATACCCCTGAAAACCACCCGCAAACATTTATGCACCTAGGTGCAACTACTTATAACTATGTGTGCAACTACTTAGACCTATAAATGCAACTACTTATAACTATAGGAGCACTTAGTATTGATGCTCAGTGTAAGTTTTTACTTGCACTTATAATACATTTTACATGCACTTGTAATACGTTTTACTTGCACTTCGATGTTCAATTATTTACGAAAATGTCACCGCACTTTTTTAAAAAATCAGTGTTTTTCATCCATTAGATCTGGACACGTGGACGGACAGAATCCATTCCTATTTCGCGCCTGGGCGAAGCATTCGCACCTGAGTGCAAATATATATATATATATATATATATATATATATATATATATATATATATATATATATATATATATATATATATATATATATATATATATATATATATTGATAAGCACTATTTTTATATTTAATTTAGATTAGCCTTTATAATAAATTAATTTTATTTATTTAATATTACATTTATTTTGAACATTATTTTATATTTTGAACTAATATGTTAATTATTTAAATAATTAAGCTTAAAGATGATTTTGGGCCATTAGAAATATATATATATTATATTTGTTAATTAATAAGACTTGAGTTAGATGGAATTAAAGTGGGCAAAACTCTTTTCGTTCTTTTTGT